AGACGAGCCCCCCCCCACTGCGTGACTCCGTCCTCGCCTGCCGCTCACCGTCGCCCTATTCTTGTTTCTTGTTCTTGTTCTTGTTCTTGCTCGCCCTCGCCCTCGCCCTCGCCCCCTCGACGTCGTGTGCCCTCCCGCGGATTGCGCCAGAAAGTAAGACGGCCGGATTGGCACTAGCGCGGCCATAGCGCCATCTGTACATCATAGCCTACCCTACCTATCCCTACCCTACGCCTGCCACGCTTCCCCCCCCCCGCACCGCTAACGGAGCCTCTGCGCCTCGACGCGATAAGAAGAAGAAGAAGAAGAAGAAGAAGAAGAAGAAGAAGAAGAAGAAGAAGAAAAACAAGAAGAAAAAGAAGAAGAAGAAGAAAAGCCCTCTGCTGCTGCTGCTGGCAAGACGCCCTCACACCGTCCCAGCCACCGCGCCCAAACAAGCCAAACAGGCCAAAAGCAGCTCATATCTCCCCGTATTTGGCCGACGCCCGCGTGCCTTGCTTTCCTGACGACGTGACTCCCTGATTGCCACTCCTCGACTGTCTTGACCCCCAACTACCAGAGGACGGCCGCATCATGGCTTTCCTGCAGCAACACCGCCCCCAGGGCGCCCGCCAGGCCTCGTACCACGAGCCCGAGCCCGAGCCCGCCACCCAAGCCCCGTCGGCCCTGCCCCAGCTGAAGAGGCCACTGGGGCAATCCGAGGAATGGGTCCTCTTCTCCCCTCCTGCTCCCTCGACTACCACCCGCACTCACACCACCTCGACCGAACGCACGCCGCGCACAGCTGGCCTGTCGCGCTTCAGCGAGTTTGGCTCACTGGAAACCGCCGCTCGGTCGGACCACGATGACGACGGCGCCACGTCACTCGGCACAGAAGAGGAGCTCGACAGCCTCGACGACGGCCTGCATGCTTTCCACGAGCCGTCCGAGTACGGTGCTCCCGCGGGCAGGCTGGTCCAGAGTGGCGACACGGTGCTGCCCACGCATGATGGCCTCGGCGAGTTCAAGCCAGACGCAACCATGCAAGAACACATGTGGCAGTTTGAGCGCTCGCGGAGGCGACCCGTCCGCCGGCGCTCCAGTGTCCAGCGACACATGACTGTGCTCGAAGACGCCGAAGAAACGAACACGGAGCACGAAAAGCGCCTGCGCATCGAGCGGTGGCGCCTCGAGCAAAGCAAGGCCTTGCTTGAGGAGATTGAAAGGGAAACCAGGCGACGGCGGCGAATGAGCATGGTTAGTGCTACCCGGGGCCGAAGGGAGAGCGCCACCAGCATACAGCAGCGCCCGCTGCCAAGCACCGTCTCGCACATTGCCCAATCTGTATCCGATGGACAGAGCGATTCCTCGGAAGACGGCTCCGACAACCTATCCTTTTGGCAGCGGATAACACGCCGCGTCATTCGCGATCTTATCGGCCTCGACGAAGACACGCTGTCAGTCATATTCGGAGAGTCATTGCCAGAAGCATCATCAACGCCCACGCCGGGCTCACCTATGCAGTTTTCCGCAGACAAGGCCCTGCTGGATGCAGGCATCGACCCCTCGCGTCTCTCCGACGACGACGCCTGGCAGACCAAGCTACTCGAGAGGGTAGCCGTAGAACTAGGCACTTTGGTCAACCAACTCTCTGAGCATCCCGGAGCCTTTTCCACCTACCAACGTACACAGTCAGTACCAGACTTTGTAGGTCTTACGCCGGTAAGATCTAACACGACCCTCGCATCCGACCCCACATCCTCACGACCAGCAAGTTCTCAGCCCACAACATCGCCCGCTTCGGCCCAATTCGTCCCTACCTTTCCAGCACAAGCATCCCATATCTATAGCGAAGCCTCGTTGTGGGGCATCGAAGAAGAGCCCAGCGAAGCCAATGTCCTGGACTCGTCCCTTGCCCACCCCGCCCCCACGACCAATATTGCCGAAGAACTAGCTCGCGAGCGCGAATACTGGGAGCGTGAGATTGATGTCAAGATGATCTTCACCTTTTTGATGAAACGCTTTTCGTCGCGTCACGCGAGCATGCCTGCCCCTCCTTCGGAATCAATCCGCACATCCAGTGCCCCGCAGTCGGCTGCCCCGGACAACAGCAACAAGAACAACATGAGCTCGGCACGCCGAGCAGCCATTATCCGCCAACACCACCCTTTGGTAAATAGGACGACGACCGATGCAAGACTCCCGACGTCGTCCTCTGCCCACGTCGCCAGGGAGTCATCATCATCATCATCATCAAGGCGCTTCACCGCTTACTACGCTCCCCCCACGCAGGGACTAAGGGAAAAGTCAAAGATGCGCAGCGCCAGTAGCTGCGCTAGCCAAAGCACCAAGAAGAGTAAGCCGAGCGGGGGCTCGGCTAGAAACTACTGGGATCTAGGCGGTAGTGTAGGCAGTGGCAGTGTCTTGGCTGGTGAGGTCTAGCAAGTTGTGTTGCATGCGCATAGTTTATCACGGTATTAGACGGCGATAGAAGAGTAGAGCATGTGCGTGTTGTTGTTTTTTTTTTCATAACGTACTGTTGACGTTTTTACCATGATTGTCGACGCATATCTTTTTTTTTCTCATATACGAACATGATATGGAGTTGTGGTTGAAGTAATTGTCCTCTCTTACGTTGTTGTTGTTGTTGGTGCAAAACTCTACTACTACTATTACTTACTACTTACTAGATGGCGACGACGATGATGATGATGATGATGATGATGATGGTGGTGGTGGTGGTGGGTTTTACATAGCATGTACAATATTGACAAACTTTTTTCTCACTCTTTGCTCTGTCAATGGATTACGGATTACGCTCTCTGCTTCACTCTCTCTCTCTCTCTCTCTCTCTCTCTCTCTCTCTCTCTCTACTATCATACCATTCATATCTCAACGCTACACATACTTCCTCCTTCCTCTTCTTGTATCTTTGTCGTTCTTTTTTTTTCCTACTTCCCCACTTACTTACTTACTTACTTACATCATAACGATTTACTTATTAGACTTGCTTATCTACCACTCAGCCTCCCCCCCCAGCTCTCCTATCATCGCGCATGATCCTAGTACGGTAAAATAAAGTAAGCTATCAAAAAAAACCAAAGCTAGAAGAGAGACAAAGAGAAGAAGAAAGAAGAAGAGAACAAATCAATAAACAAACAAACTAAAGCTAAACAAGCTTGATTACTTGCTTGTTGCTTATATTCCAACCGCAAACGTATTATTTTTTTTTGGATTTTGTTGCCCAAGTTACTTAGTGGAATTGGATTCTTGTTTTTTTCCCTGCCGCCTACACTAGCTTACCTACATACATGCACAATGCGAGAGCGCACCTGCTGGTTTTCTGTCAGACAGACAGACAGATAGCTTATTACCTGCATACTAGCTAGCTAGCTAGCCTAACATGTTGTACATAGCACCAGCTTCAGTCACGCTGCACTCTACTCCACTTCACTCCACTCCACTTCACTCCACTCCACTTCACTCCACTCCACTTCAACTTTACGCTTACTATAGGTATGGCGCATGTGACTGCACACACACACACACACACACAATACGCAAGATAAATCACAATACGCACCACGCAAGACAAAGCACGACATCAATATATACAAAGACGAAATACGTTAGCCGTATCATCGCAAGAAATACCGTAAGTAATAAGACCTCAGCGTCATGATGCGCGGATTGTGAGGCGAAGCAGTGTGAGGGCCATACATACATACATACATACACGAATGTATGCGAGCATAAGCAGCGAAACGAGGGGTTGCGCACGCGGACACGTGGGCACGTGGGCGTGTTGCATGGCCAGGTACATGGATGCGCAAATTGGAAATTGGAAATGGAATTGGATATTGCCCGCGTGTTACGGGTGTGGCGGGAGGGTGCGGAAGTTACTTACGGAAGTACGGAAACTAAGTACGGAAGAAATGGGAAGGGATGCGATCGAGCGGAGGGAAGACGGAGGGGGGGGGGGGAGGGGCTTGGCGGGGTAAAGTAAGTAGAATCTCCATCTTGCTC